GCGTGGTGGCTCACGCCTGTAATCCCAGTGCTTTGGGAGGCTGAGGCAGGTGGATCACCCAAGTTCAGAAGTTTGAGACCAGCTTGGTCAACATGGCAAAACCCTGTCACTACTAAAATTACAAAAAAAAAAAAAAATTAGCCAAGTGTGGTGGTATGTGTCTATAGTAACAGCTATTTGAGAGGCTGAGGCAGGGGAATCACTTGAACCTGTGAGGTGGTGGTAGCAGTGAGCCAAGATTGCACCACTGCACTCCAGCCTGGGTGACAGAGTGAGACTCCATCTCAAGAAAAAAAAAAGTACGGATATGGGCAAAGGCAAAAGGGCAAAGGGCAAGGGTATTGAAAGAACTGGTTTGATCTGGTCAAAGGTTGGGCTGTTGTTGTTTGGGAGTTTGGCTGTGGTGTGGCGCCTGGGATGACAGAATGTAGGTGCATTTTGCAGTAACCTGGGTATGTCTTGGGTCCTCAAATGGTCAGCAGATGGAGAGTAGGGCTTTGACTCTAAAGGGCTTTCCTTATACCAGTGGGCACTCTGCACTTCAAACAGACTGATTGAAAAGCAGATTCCTTCCAACAAGAACGTCCAATCCAATAGCAAAGGCTCAGAAAGGCTGGGAAGTCAGTTCCTTCTCTGAATACCCTCCCCTCTGGGCTCCCAGCCACCTACCGCTGTCCCAGCTGGCTGTCTCCCTTTCCCAGTCTACTCAGTACTTACAGAGAAGGACCTTCCCGCCAAGTTGGAGGACTTGACGACCTCTGTCACGCTGACATTCAGACATGTGTGGTCTGTGACAGGAGCAGCAGGCAGAGGGCAATGAGGAGACCCTGAAACTGAATGAGATTGGGAGGGCGGGCGGCTGTAAATGGACCTCAAGGAAAGTAGAGGAGTTTCAGATTCTAGGTCTCAAGATCTCCATGAACCCATCTTGACACCTCCCGGCCCTCTCACTCCTCCCTGGGCTCCCACTTCCCTGATCTGCTTGGTCCTAGCCAAGTTGGACCTCCTTCTCAATCTATCTTCCTTCCCCGAAGAATCTGCAAGTTTTTGTATCCTCAGGTCACCAGCCATCGCCAACCTAAATCCCCACCCAGTACCCTTTCATTATTTCCTCCTGCACCCCTTTTAAAAAGGAATAAAGTTCTAGAAGTTCTCTTGAACTTTCCGTAGCTCTCGGGCATGCTAAGAATATAAAAAGCACCTAGCCAGGGAGGTTGTGCAGGACAGAGGCACCAAGTGGGTGAGGAGGGCATTAGTGCCAACAGGTTGAGTGTTTCTTTGACTTTCTTTTTTTATTATTATAGATTTATTTATTATTTATTTTTGAGACAGAGTCTCACTCTGTCACCCAGGCTGGAGTGCAGTGGCATGATCTCAGTCACTGCAACCTCCACCTCCCAGGTTCATGTGATTCTCCTGCCTCAGCCTCCTGAGTGGCTGGAATTACAGGTGCACCACCACACCTGCCTAATTTTTTGTGTGTAGAGACAGGATTGCTTAATAATGTATAATGTGTCAAAAATCATTACTGTGTGCTGCTGCCAGGCTTAGTCCCTCCCTGCCAACTATAGAGGGTCTGTAGAAGTCTGTGCTCTATGGAGGCTGCTGGCATCATCAGATGGGTTCTAATAGGGTCTAGACTAGGTCTGGGACGGGGGAGAGTCCGTGAGAGAAATGGAAGGAATACAATTTGAACAATAAGAGCTAACCATTATCATTTACTGTATGCACACAAATTAGCTATTTATTATCTCCATTTTAGAAACGGGGGAAAAAAAACCAGGTGGAACGGATACAAGTCACACACCTAAGATCACACAGATAGTCAGTGGCAAAGCTGGGGTGTGAGCCCTGCCCATCTGGCTCTGGACCCGCGCCCTTGACCGCCTGTTCCTGAGACACCTCTAGGTTAAGAGCTGCTGCCACAATTACCTTTCTCCTTCATGGTGTTAAAGAGCTGTGGGTAAAGAGTGTCTTGCTGTGATGGAGTTTCATGTGTCATCCACAAATTCAACATGCCTGGAGGCAATTTTATTAGGAAGTGATGGCCAGACGCAGTGACTCATGCCTGTAATCACAGCACTTTGGGAGGCAGAGGTGGGCGGATCACAAGGTCAGGAGTTCGAGACTAGCCTGACCAACATGGTAAAATTCTGTCTCTACTAAAAATAGAAAAATTAGCCAGCCATAGTGGCACACACCTGTAGTCCCTGCTACTCAGGAAGCTAAGATAGGAGAATTGATTGAACCCGGGAGGCAGAGGTTGCAGTGAGCCAAGATCGCACCACTGCACTCCAGCCTGGGTGACGGAGCGAGACTCTGTCTCACAAAAAAAAAAAAAGAAAAAAGAAAAGGGAAGTGATATAATTTCTTGAGTTTCTTCTTTGTGCCAGCTGCTGAGAAAATTGTGACACTATGATGCCTGCATCTCAACAGACTAGATTTAGGGGATGTTACCAGGTGACACTTGGAGAAGATCATTTCAGAGCAAACAAGAAAGTTCACCCAGGCAGAATTATATCTTGTTTGCCATCTATTTGCTTTGTCCATGACATATCCTGGCACATAGTAGATACTTGATCAATATTGTGATGATGAACACAAATGCATTTTTGTCAGAAAGGCATCATAATTGGAATGCTAGCAAAGCCACAGTGATTTCAGAGACGAAGTAAATACTTGTAGTTGCATAGGAGAGGAGGGATCAGAGTTGGCTTCCTATAAGCATTCCAACCTGGCTTATGTATATTTTTATTCCACATTTCTTCTGGAATATTCCAAATGTGTTCCTTTATTTTTAAAACAAATTTTTTACTGTAAAATAGCATTTCATTTATTACACAATATTGGTCAAGTATCTACTATGTGCCAGGATATGTCATGGACAAAGGCAATAGATGGTGAACAAGATATAATTCTGCCTGGGTGAACTTTCTTGTTTGCTCTGAAATGATCTTTTCCAAGCATCAACCGATAACATCCTCTAAGTCTAGCCTGTTGAGATTTGGCAATTCTGGGGGGCAGTGGTAAGGAACATAGACTCTTGCATGCGAATACCTGGGTTTGAATTTCAGTTTTGAGTCTTCCTCACAGAGGTGATGTTGGGTGAGTTATTCTCTTTCCTTCAGTTTCCTCTCTAGTAAAAAGTTGCTGAGACTAATAATATCTATCTCCTAGGGTTCACATGCTTCACTGCCGGGCCCCTGGTGCATGTTTGCAATGTTAGGGACCCGTGTTGCCATCCTTTGCATTATTCCAGGAGACCAGGGAGCTCATAATATGAGCTAATATTTATAATTTACTATATGCGCATAAATTGGCATTTTCTATTGTCTCCATTTTTTTTTTTTGGAATGACATTCAAAGTCCAAAATTTCCAAACAGAATACAATTAGCCCTGCGGGCTCAATTCTGAGGCAGGAGACCAACTGCAACTCCTCCCCGGAGTCCCTCCACCTTCCAGCTGTGTCTCACCAGTCTGCGGAGGCTCAGTCCAGAGGCCAGTGCTAGAGTCTGAGTGACCCCATGGCAAGCAACCTGAAGGCAGTCACCAAGCCCTGGACCTAGTTCCAGTTCCATGACTGGGAGGCCTTCCCCTTCTGTCACTATGTCCTCTCCCCAGCATCGCCCTTCTCATCTCTTCTCTCTTTCTTTGCTCTGCATTCCCTGTTCCTTACCTTCTGTGTCGCTGGCTGGAATGGCCTTCAGGACCAGCCCAGTGGCCCGCAGGGAAACAGTGACCTCTCGGGGCCGGTGGCTAAGCAAGGCCTGGGGGAGGGGTATTGAGGAACAGGTGGGGTCTTCAGGACATACCCCTTCCCCACGCATCCCCACATCCACAGTCTTGCCTCTCTCCCCTGTTTGCCACCTCCACTGTGAAAGTCTTTTTGTTATTATTATTGTTTTTTTGAGCCAGGGGTTTCATTATGTTGCCCACCCCAGTCTTCAACTCCTGACCTCAAGGGATCCTCTCACCTCAGCCTCCCAAAGCACTGGGATTACAGGCATGAGCCACTGTGCCAGGCCCTGTTTTGTCTATGTCACTGAGGTCCCATAAGGGCTAGCAGATAAAGGCTTGTAGCACTCCTAGCCCTAGAGAGTATATTCAGCCTTCCAGATCCCAAAGAATAAATCTCTAGTGAAATCAGTTCAAGCATCTGGTCAGCTAGCGAGGAAAATATTTTTTAGCAAGGGGTCAGCCCCCTAGTTCCTTAAATTAGATCACCTCCTTATCTATATGTAAGGCCAACTTAACCCCACTTATCCCTGCAAAACTCCTTGAAGGCTGGGGAACTCTGTAGCGAGCTTCAAGAAAATGGCAGAAGCCTCCTTTGGCTCTGTCTGCTTCCCTGCTTGTCCCTGAGGCCTTCTCTCTCCAGCTGTACCTCCTAGCCACCTGCTGACTATGCCCATGCACACTGACCTTCTGGTAACACAGGGAGAGCTCTGCCCCTGGGCCCTCAGCCACGCCTCTCCTCTTGGGTGAAAAGCCATCTGCAAAGAGATGAGGAGAGGCTTGGGGTGGAGGTTCCCAGCCCTCTCACGCTGACTTCCCACTTCTCTGAGAACAGGAGCTGAGCTGCTGGGTTTACCCATCCATCCATCTCCCTGGATGGAAAGGCAACACCTCAGGGAGCCAAGCTGCCTTTCAGTCTTGGGGAGGCATTGGAGGGAATCAAGGGCAGCCCTGGTATTCAGCAGAAGTAGGGAGCAGAGCAGGGGCAGCACTGAGGTTGCAGAGGTACATTATCAGCTGAGAGGCGGGAGGATGAGAGTTTGGAGAAGATGAGTCAGGGTGACCTTTGTGACCTTTGGGAAAAGGGAAGCAGATGTTTACCTTTGGGGAATTTAGAATCTTGGATCTTCACCTTGAGCTCAATGAGGAAAATGTCCTCAGCAGGGTCTTGGCTCAGGTCACTGAAGAAGATCTGGAGAGAGGAAGGGAGGGTGATATTTCCTGGTGTGATTTCCAAATCTCTCTCTCTCTCTCTGATTTCCAGGGATCTGGGACCATGGAGAACCCTTCCACATAAAGAAGACCTACTTCTTGGATTTGAGGTCTTGAAGTTAATAATGATCTGATTCATTCAGAGATGAAGAAGATGACGTTAACAACCAAGAGTGTCTGGGTATGTTCATGCTTTGTGGCCTGGTGACCAGTGTTTTTCCAGAGCCTGGGTATTTAATCTGTGGGGTCCTGGGGTCCAGCAGGCTGGCAAGTACCCTTGGAGTCTCCAGTGGGATGCTTACCTTGACTGTGTAGATCTGGAAATAAATGGGTTGGGTGCCCATGCGGACATAGTAGGTGAGGACATCTAGGATGAAGGGGTCCACAGTCCGGGATGTGTCCAGGGAAGGAGGCTGTGAGGGAGACAGGAAATGTGTTCACCATCTCCCCCCAGGCCACTGTGGGAGATGCCATTTTCTTCAGAAAGAAACACCAAGCCCCTACATCTCGGGGATGCACTAACCCAGTGGGTCTTTCAACACATTCCAAGCCTTTCCCACCACCCGATTTCCACTCCCAATCAAAATATTCCTTTCCAGAGCCCCACCTCCTTAGGGAATCTGACTCATTTCAATTCTACAGAGACTATTGAGTACTGCTATGTGTGAGGCACTGTGCTAAGTGACTGGGGGAGACAGGATGCTGGAGAGTGAACCTAATGAGAGAGCAAGGACTGGGTTCTGAGCTTGGATGGGCTACTTGCCATTGGGCAGGCAGCCGTGGGCAAGTTATTCAAACTCTCTGAGGCCTGAGTTTCCTTCTAGAGAAAATGAGAGGTTGGACCAGATGATCTCATGTCTCGTTCAGCTCTGGCGGTCTCTGCATCTATTAATAGGCTAATTAAGGTTTGTGTATTATTGGGAATGAACTATGCATCTTGTTTTCCAGTCCTTCCCCAGTCCCATGTGATGATAAAGCATAGTGACCGGGTTTTCAGAATCTCTACGTAGAATGTGATAATGATGTCAGGGTTGGAAGACAGCTCAGAGTTGATCTCATTCAACTCATATCTGCTCCTGTGAGATCTGTTTTGACTTTCACATCTGGTGTACTAAAATATGTTCCTTTCGAAAGGGTCACACTGAGAAGCTATGAACTTATTCTAATAATGCTGTCATTGTTCACAATGTTTTGGTCTCTTCATGTGGAAACTACTTTTGGAGTAAGCATAGGGTCATTCAAATTGTTAGTTACAAGAAGAAGGGGAAAACCAGAATCTTACAGTGTCTTGGCAGAGAAAAATAGCTACCAGCAAAGGAGCACCAATGGGGCCTGCATCAAATGTTCCTACTGTAATATCCTCCAAGTTTCAAGGAAAAAGCATTTTAATACCCAGCTAAATGGTCTTTTGTGTGTATGCAGAGACATTTTCAGATCAGGTATAATCCAGAAAATGTGCACCCCTAAATATCCTTATTTGAATAAACCCCATCAATCAAATGATAAAGCAAAATGTAGAGCTCTTTGGTA